TTTCCTTTTATTTGGTGAGTTTTATTGTTTTTTATTTAAATCAAAAAACAGCATTTTAACACGACAACAATGAAATATTTTGTTTCTCAAATATTAATAGAAACATGACAGCATATTAATACCTGTTTGGATCATATTTTTGTCACCGTATAAGTGACAATTAGTGTTTGAGGCAAGAAAAGAGGAAGGAGAAATGTTCTCCATTTTGGAAATGGCCATTTGAAGGGCTTGAGAATTTGAAACAAATAGTCTTAGATGTTAATCACAACTTACCTTCAGGCAGTACCTGGCAGATACATCCTGGTCAAGGACCCCAAGGGCAATTACAGGAAGTGACGAAAAGAAGACACTATAGAGAGACAAAAACCAGTCATTGTATGCAGGCTGTCCAGAGAATGATGCATACACCTCATACAAGAATAGGGTGAATCCAAATGTGATGTTCTTAAAGAAAAAATAGCATATCTGCCAGAAGAATAAAAAAGTTAATACAACCATTAAAGCTTTCAGATCAGAACATCCTTCACGGCCTAAATCTATAGAATGGTGAGATCCAGTTTGAGTGGCAATACCATTGATGACATCCTCCGGTAACACCAATGTCCATGTACAAGAAGTAATCTTTCCAAATACTTGAACTGCGCAATTGCAATATCACTAGACATGACGGCCTAGGGGAAAAAGGATACAAATCAAAAACTTTTGCTAAGACAGGATATGAACGTGAAAAATCAATCTTAAATATTGAATAGTATGCCAATTTTTTGGATACCTGCATTCCTTCGACGCCACTGATTCCAATCCCTACGTCTGCTTCTTGAAGCATTCCGACATCATTAGCTCCATCACCAATAGCTAATGTTGTTTTACCAGTTCCAGATTTGACCAGTCTAGTAACCTTGAGAGGAACCAATAATAATAAAATACTTTTAAGAGCTAGCTAGAATAATCATCAGATTAACAAAAAATATATAACATGCCAAACAGAGGGATGCAGAACAGGCTTAAAAATACCAGAGCCTTCTGCTTTGGCGATGAACGGCAGCAGATAACAGATGCACAATGACTTGCAAGCTCTAGAAACATGTTTTTCATATTATCCTCTAGAGCATATGTTAGTGATTTTCCATCAATGATCAGAGCAAATGTCTGCTGGCAAGTCCCTCTGGATGCAAAAAGCAGTTGAGCACCTTCAGATAGCTGATGATGCACACTTTCCCTTGATACCTAAAAACATGAGTAAGCCTATAAATATCAGCACCGAAATTTCAAATACACAGGTTCTCTAAGATGCTTTAAGCTAAAGCCTGATGTGTTGATATTTTTTTTACTAGTCATAGGAGCTAAAGTATGAAATATTGATTTTGAGGAACACATCGCATGCTCTAGAACTCCTGTTTCCTAATATCTAAACCAGTAGCTCCAAAATCCTAGGTTGTTCACGTGACTTGTGAGCTTAAGGAAAGAATTCATGGAGAAACATGTGTATGGGTATTCCAGTATTTGAAAGAAATAACATGCATGGGAAGCTGATTCATACCGAGCAACACTTCAACAAAATGCAAATTACATAGAGCAACTTGCAACTGAACATGGAAACACGGAAGTATGTGCCTAACAGCCGTGGGAGGATAGCAATTCTAAGGCAGCATGGGAAAATTTCTAAAGCGGAGCACTAGAGCAGCTTCAAATTAAGTATGGTCTGGCTATACATAAACGATGAGAGAATACTGCAAGTATTAGCTTAGTGGAGGTTGGCTTTGGTAGAGATCTCATGTACTCAAATTCCTAGAAAAAAGACGTGTTCATTCTTTCTCTAATTTCTAACTGGTACCTGACAGAAACTTTGACATCAAGCAACCAACCCCTTCCAAAGAGATATATAAGAAAACTTTGAGAGGGAAAGAAAAGGAAAGAAACAGAATAAAAAAACCTATAATATCGATTAAGGGTTAAATTATGTAAGATAAATTATTTTTAAATTAGAAACTTCTCATTAACATTATAAAATAATATTATAAAAAATAGAGACTTAAAAGCCATGCCGTCGCAGTGTGGTAAATAAAATCTCTAAATTTAGGTTTGTTTATAAAAAATAAAAACTTATAAAAAATAGAGACTTAAAAGTCATGCTCTGGCAGTTTAGTAAATAAAATCTCTAAATTTAAGTCTGTTTATAAAAATTAAAAACTTATAAAAAAATAGAGACTTAAAAGCTACAGTGGCAGTTTGGTAAATAAAATCTTTGAATTTAATGTTTTTCAGAAGAAAATTGTAAAGAACATAAAGTAACTGAACATAAAGTCAACATGGTGGGCGGGTTCCTCTTGGTAGGCGTTTCTCTGGTGGGTCATTCCTCTCTTCTCTCAAGTGCATGATTTTTCTTTGCCCTTTTGTCTTTCTTCCCCCTTTTGTCAAGTGCATGACAAGGTGAGGTGAGGGATGAAGGTAGTGTTAGAAGAAAGGAGAAAAATACCATTTTAATTCTTCTTTATTTTAATAACATTTCATAAGAATAAAAGCCAGATTATAACAATATTTTAAAATGACTCTATAACTTCAAATATTTTAAAATAATTATTAATTATCTTTATTGTAAATATCATCTAATTTATCATAGCCAAAATTTTAAATTAGGTATAATAGATGATTTCGTCACTGAATAATCATTAATTTCACACATATCAAATCTATAGAATATTCTATAACAAATAACATGTTAATTAAAATGATAAAATTATGTAAGATAAATTATTTTTAAATTAGAAACTTCTCATTAATATTATAAAATAATATTAACATTATATATTAATAAGTGATATTTATTAGTATCTATTTAATAAAAATTATTACATATATTAATTAATTTATATTATTATTATTATAATAATTTTATGACTTAGACTATTTAAATTTAAATTATAAAAGTTATATTTTATTCTTATAATTTCTGTTATCATTATTATTAATATAAATCTTAAATTATAATAAGAACCAGAAATGATACAAATAGAATAAATAAAATTGTTATAAAATACAGAAGCGGTGAATTGTTCAACAAATTTGTTTCCAAATATTTAGCATCGAACATTCATAGAATTTATTTATTTATTTATTTGCATGTACAAGAAGAGTTGTCCAATCATGATATCTTTTGCAATATAAAATAATATTTTTATAACATATAGCGCGTTCTTAACTTACTGTTCGCAAGAGCAACTCCATCTACAAAAACACCCTATTTTCACACTGCAAACCCTGGAAACTGTAACGAGTAAGGCTTAAAACCACATCGTGGGTGACACGTCATAAAGAATGATGTGTGTGACCAATATTTTGGAAGTAAGACCAAGAGACTTAAACCAATAATGAGTAATTTTAAGGTTATAGATTTGGGTTATTAAAGTAAAGAGTATGGGCATTCCTCTTTAATTAATCACTTTCATGTTGCAAGTTAGGTGCCAACGTACCAACTTACACTGTTACACACTTTTATATTCCTTTGACCTAGATTATAAGAATAAAATGATAAAAAAATATAAATTTTTATATTATTTTAAGAAAAAAGAAAATAAAAAATAAGTAAAAATAATATCAAATAAATATAAAATATTTAAATGTGTTAAATAATATTTATTCAGCTAGTGAACTTCTCTTTTCACAACCTTCCCTTTTCACACTATAAATTCAATTCCTTCTTCCCATAGCGACTCAGTGGAGTAAGGAAACACACTCTTCTCTCCCATCTCCAAGTGAAAATATCCCTCTTTCTTGAATGTCAATTCATAAAGAATAATGGATGTGAACCCGGATTATAAGGGTATTTTTCAGCATCAACCTCCATTTGTTTCACCTTACGAGACCACTTGCATGTGACTTGCATGTTGCATACGACAACCAAATGTTGTAACATGCGTCATCATAAACGAAAGTTTGCGAATCATGATTTCTTTTGCAATATAAAATAATATTTTCGTCTCCAAGTGAAAACATATTCCTTCTCTCATCTTTTCACTTTTCCTTCTGTGACCATGAAGAACAAAGGTTATACTGTACTAATGGCCTTGGAATTGGCTTCAATAGGTATTAAGTATGGAGGTTCACACACCAACCCCTTCCAACATTCAACTCCAACTTCAATAGGTATTAATTTGAAATTAGGAATTTCAAATTAATATTATAAAATAATATAAACATCATAAATTAATAAATGATACTTATTAGTATTTATTTAATAAAAATTATTGCATATCTTAATTAATTTATATTATTTATAATAATTTTATAACTAAGAATATTTAAATTTAAATTATAAAAGTTATATTTTATTCTTATAATTTTATTTCTATTATTATTAATATAAGTCTTAAATTATAATAAGAACTAGAAATGATACAAATAGAATAAAGAAAAACATTTTATTATAAAATATAGAAGTAGTGAAGTGTTCAACACTGTTGTTTCCAAATATTTAGCCAGTGTCATTCATAGAATTTATTCATTTTTATATTTTCAGATATCTATTAATATCTATACATATTTTTTTAATTTTAAATTTAATCTTTTAAAAAATAAATTTAAATGATTTACATCAATATATAAAATTAAGAAAATAATTAAGCTTGTCTGTGATGTAGGATGTGACTGCACTAGTAAAATAAACTTTTTAAATCTCTAAATTTAAGTCTGTTTATAAAAAATAGAGACTTAAAAACCATGCCGTGGCAGTGTGGTAAATAAAATCTCTAAATTTAGGTCTGTTTATAAAAAGTAAAAACTTATAAAAAATAGAGACTTAAAAGCTATACAGTGGCAGTTTGGTAAATAAAATCTTTGAATTTAATGTTTTTCAGAAGAAAATTGTAAAGAACATAAAGTATAAAGTATTCTGATGTTCGCAAACACCATCTTCTTTTCTCACTAAATACCTTCCCATGCTTTCCATAACGAGTCATAATGGAAACACCATCTTCTTTCTCCGATTGAAAACATCCCTCTTCTCTCTTTTTCTTCTGGCACCATGAAGAACAAAGGTTATAGTATTCTGATGGCGTTGGAACTGACTTCAATAGGTATTAAGTATGGAGGTTTAAACACCAACCCCTTCCAACGTTCAACTCCAACTGTGTTGCTCTTCCTCACAGCAGCATGTTCTCACGTACTTGCTTCAACAGCTCAAACGAACCGGCCAACTAATTTCATATTCAACGTCTCTGGTGTAGTTGGATGTGAAGCACTTATGTGGATTCTCATTGCTCCTGAGGTTTTATGGTGGTATATCATCAACGTGCCTCTTTTACTTCTCTCCTTGTACCTCAACTACAACCACATCAATGAACTCATCCGTAACGCGACTCTTTTACTTGT